GGGGGGGTACTGTAAGGATGGTACTTTTCTGTGGCCCAGTTTGTGTCTGTGTTCCCTCGTGCTCCCTCAGTAGTTCCATTGTTACCACCCGTGTCTCGTCCCAGCTGTCTGTAATCATGTCTCGTCTTGTCTCTGTATATAAGCCGTCTGTTCTGTCCTGTTCATCGTCGCGTCGTACTCGTTGGTTCTCCTGTGTCTTCCCCTGAGTCTTCCTGGTTCCTCAAGTCTCCCGTGTCTCCTGAGTCCTCCTGAGTCCTCCTGAGTTTCCCCTGCCTCCTTCCTATGTTCATGTAAGCTTTGTTGCCCCGTCAGCTTGTTATTTTGTACTTTCATTTATCATTAAATTCCTATTTTTGTAACTCTGCCGAGTTGAGTCCCTGTTCTGCACTACTAGGTTCGTCCCTGACCACAAATCCTAACAAATACACAGTGATGTCCAGAGATCTCAATTCCGTCAAAAAATAAATTATAGATCAGCTTTAGCAAACCTGCTCTATTTCAGTATTTTTATATATTTTTTTTACCACTTTTAGCTTTTTTTTCTTTAATATACTTTTAGTTTTTAGCTACATCTTCCTCCCTCAGTTTTCACCCAATGTTTTGCTGCTTTGATTGTTTAAGCTACAATATAACTAATCATTGTAGGGTTTCTGGGGTCTTGTCATACATGTTGTGTTTTTCCTCATGTTTGCCTGTCACCCCTCAGCTTTTCTCCTCCTGTGTTCCAGCACTGTCGCACCTGTGTCTAATCCTAATCACCGCAAGTGCCACTCATTTCACCTTGTTAGTGTCTGTATATATTCAGCCCCTTGGTGTCTTGTCAGTGTCTTTGGATTGTCCTTGTCCTAAGGCTTCATAACCTGTTTCTCTTCGTGTCCTCTTTTTTTCATTTTTTTTTTTTTCATTTAGCCTTTATTTATACAGGTTAGTCTCATTGAGCCACGAGAACTCATTTTCAAGAGAGACCTGTTTAGGGAGCACATGGTGGGGGTTAAGGGCCTTGCTCATGGGCCCAGAGTGGAGCGAATGAGGGTGGGGGCAAGTGTAGGTGTTTCACCTACCCCACCCACAATTTTGATGTTGCCGGGGCGTGAACCGGCGATCTTTGGATCACAAGCCCACCTCTCTAACCTCTGCGCCCCAAACTCCCCTAACTTTTAAGTAAGTTAGCTGCCCCGTCAGCATTTTGTTTTGTTTATTTAATTAATAAACTGTTTTTACTTATTTACTGGAGCCTCATTCCCTTCCTGCACGTGGGTTCGAACACACTACAGTCAGATCATGATAATCATAGCTACTGGTTTGCTTACTTTAGCTTCCACATATGCTTTGCTACTTTTAGCATTGGTTTTGCTAATTTAAACTTTAACACAGTCTACCAATTTCAGCTGCTGTTTTGCTCATTTTAGTTTAAGCAGGTGTTTTGATAATTTGAACTACATTTTCGTTCATTTTTGCAGCTGTTTTGCTCATTTTAATCATTGTTCTTATCCTTTTAGCTTTTAGCTGCTGCTCAGCTTCCTTTTGTTTTTTAGCTAGGTCAACCAAAGTGCTGTACAGCAGAAAACAAACAAGCAAAGCACACAGCCAACATAAAATAAAGTAAAATGAAAATATAGATACAGAAGATGGTAATTAAATGGCTAACACTGTAGAATACAGACAGGTTCAAAACAGGTCACAGTGTTAAAAACCAGGGAATAAAAGTGGGTTTTTAAGCAAGACTTAAACAGTGAGGGAGGGGGCATGCCTGACAAGCAGTGGTATTATGTCACTGCTGAGTCAGCATTTACACAGTTTTCTTGCTTATAGTTTATTCCATACGTTTATTATTGTTATTATCCATTTATTATCTTTACCCATTTCTTCCTCTTCAGGTCGCGGGGGTCTCTTGTGTCAATGGTACCCATGTACTGTTATTGTTGTTATTATTTTTAGTCAAACAAATTCTGCATAGTTTATGCTATTTTATTCATTAATATGTCAAAGCATTCAGTTCAATTCTAAAACTGTGCTGTAACTTTTGGCTGGTGTAACTTTTATGCTATTCAAAAAAAATAATTTTATTTTTCTAATGATTTCAAATTACTAATACACAGTGATGTCCAGAGATCTCAATTCCTTCAAAAAATAAATTATAGATCAGCTTCAGCAAACCTGCTCTATTTCAGTATTTTTATATATTTTTGACCACTTTTAGCTTCTTTTTTATATATATACTTTTAGGTTTTAGCTACATCTTCCTCCCTCAGTTTTCACTCAATGTTTTGCTGCTTTTATTGTTTAAGCTACATTTTAACTAATCATAGCTACTGGTTTGCTTACTTTAGCTTCCACATATGCTTTG